GCATTCCTGATCTCCGACGATCAGCTCGGTATCGCTATGCAAGTATAACTATTCCTGAGGTTGGTTTACACTTAATTTGTCGTTAGACAAGGATTGATTCCAAGTCTATACTTGCTATGGTGAGGACCTTATGAATGTTATGGTGAGGGACCTAAACATGCGAGTTGCATTGTTATGATTCTTATTACTTTTCAGGTTAATGGGTCTCAACGCAAGTTGTTCAAGAATGGACGAGACCTTGAAGACACCTTGACTGCTGCTGTTATTCGGAACTTGAAGATTGTCCAGGTGAGGATTGAAGAGCTTTATGTTTTTCATTGCTAGGAACCAAACTCATTTTTAAATCTATTGGCGCAGCAACAATTTAACCTAGCTAGCAATTATATATTTTTGTAAGCATTGTGTCTCCTCGACCAGCTCTTTTATGCTTTTGGTCATACTTATCATGAGGTGTACACATGCTAAAAGATTATAAAATCCAACTATTGAAAACGATGTATAACATTTGGGAAATAAATTATAATGTTTAGATATGGTTCCTCTATCAATATTCTGACCTTCATGGTTGGGATCTGGCCTGAATAATGATTTTGGTTGGGTTTTCTACTATTTGTAGGACAGATCCAAGGTTATAGTTCTTGATGCTGAAGGTTCTCGTTCTAAAGGAATTGCAAGATCCTTGAGAAAGCTTGGGGTTAAGGCAAGTGTTTCTAACTCGGTTTTAAGGCAACCCTGGACGGTCGTGCTCGTGTATCTAGCTTGTGAACTATGATTTTGAGTCCTGAAAAATCAAATTGCTAGTTGTAGTTTCACATTCAATTTCACTAAAGTGATCAGATAATTTAGATGGAAGGATCCTTTTCTATTTTATTGCCTGAATGAAAATCAAGCTGTCCAATTCTAGGCAAAAGTTATTGGTCATCTACTCATCTTCGATTGCATTTGAACATGCAAGTGTTGATTATGACGCTGTATCCTACATGACAGCAATCTTACTTGGTTCAAGGCGGCTTCCGGTCTTGGGTGAAAGAGGGTCTTCGTGTTAAGGGACTCAAACCTGAGACGGCGCTTACCATACTCAACGAGGTATCTAATTTATATATTTACTAATTTTTGATGACTAGAGTTGATTTTATCACATTATGCTCATGCAAAACTTGCATATATTTCAGGATGCAGAAGCAATCCTGGAGGATATTAAAACTTCTCCAATACAAGTTCTTGGGTATGGCGTGGTAAGCTTCATGTTTTTTCTACACTACCGTGTTAATAAGTTCCAACATGGTTAATTGTCACTTAAATTGGTTAAGACTAAATAGACACAGGGATATACCAGATGCAACCGGGGGGTGCGTTGATGACTTTGTACCGAAGATGTTATTCTTTGTGCAACTTTAGCTAATAAAAGTGACTACTTCATCTGCAGGGTTTGATCGCGGCGTCGTATGCAGTATTAGGTAGTATACTTGTTCTTGTATCTGTCATCCGCTCATATGCACTGCTGAATCTGTCATCTATTAGGTAACTGTTTTTGGTTTTTGCCTCTCTTTTTCCTGACTAAACATGGTAATCTCTGTTTCCAGAATGGGAGAAAACACTCCAATTCATTGGCGTTATTGGCCTTGGTCAGGTATTTTCTCATTTATTTCTGTCTCAGTTTAGAACTCCATCTCTTTGCTTGCTGCTTCTCGTGAACTGTTGCTTCCCTCCTCCTTCCCCTACTACTTGTACTTTCTATCAACTTAAGGCTGTCTTTGGTGAGAGGAAAAGGAAACAGTAAGGATAAGTAGATTATAACCTTGGGTGAGAAAAATGAAAAGGAAGGAAATGACGGTTCTCGTATTAAGTTTGGTATGGATTCCTTCCTCCAATCCTTCTGAAATCAGAGGATCAAAATTGGAGTCTTGCAAAGGATTTTGGATCTCTTATCTAGTCCATTCCCTCCTACCAAACAACCATAAAGTCTTTAAATCCATCCATTAAACCCCCTATACTTATTTCTCCTACCAAACAAGGCATCTGAATCTTCTTTTATGCCCTTTTCTGTATTTAAGCTATATCGTTCAATTTTGAACCATTTCTTTATTCCTTGGTGCATTATAATCCTTGCAGACCGTATTCCGGCGTGTTGCTTCTTATGAGCGCGCTGACGATTTCAAACAAGATGTGAGGTAAAAGTTTTCTCCCTTAGATCCTAGCAGGAGATTTTTAACCACTATCATTTTTTGTTTAATGCCCTTTTGTTACTTTTATATGTCATATATATTTCACTTAAATGTCTTGCTGTTGCTGTTATTACGATGCTCCCAGGCTATTGCTTGCTCCTGCTAGAATTGGAGCTCAGGCATTCTCATGGGCAGCCGGAAAATTGGAGTCGAACCGTGTTGGAATTCCGACATCTCCATCATCCTCAGATGTCCAAAACCGGGTTCTCCAGGCAGCTGCAAAGCACGAATCTCAACCATCTGATGCTGAAGGTTTAGCTGATCAATCTCCCGAGTCAACGATTTCTGTAAGCGAGAATGTAGATCTCTCTGAAGCGTAGAGCTTCAGTTTTTCTTGCTGCGGTATCACTTCAACTGTGAGCCTAATATTCTGACTTGAGAACACAAATTACCCTTGTTACTGTACAATAAGCAGTCATTCACAAATTACTCCCCTTCTTTTTCTTTTGTTTATGCAAAGTACGACTGTTATGTACCTTTTTTCTTCAAATAAATAACCCAAGTTTTGTACATTTTCGTTATATCAATTATTTGTGCTAGCAAATTTAACTCTGTTTTTCTCGAGACTGACTTGTAAAGAATTCAAAAGGGTCGAGTGAAGTACAATGCAGAAGGTACAATGGAATTGAGAGATGCAAATACTCTGCCCAGTGAAC